GAAACCCTCGGGGGGCCTCCCCCCCCCCCCCCCCCCCCCCCCCTCAGCCTTGGCCGCCTGGGATCTCAGGATTGAAACTCAGCAACTTGCCGGTTACTTTAACTTAGTGTGTTTGAGTAGCTTCCGAGCTTCTCCGGCCCAGTGGCCGGGCGGCTCCTTCCGAGCACCTCATCTACGTATTGCCTGCACATATACTCTCTTTTCCTCACTCTCCCAGCGAAGTTCGTGTTCCTCTCCATCACCATCTTGGAAGTTTCAAAAGACGCCCGCACCGTCGCCTTGCGCTCGTCGATGTCATGGTACAAGTACCTCGGGTCGTCGTGCACGAACAGCTCTGCCAGGTCCAGCCAGGTGCTGCCCTGGTCGATGGAGGAGAAGTATGGCAGGTGGAACTGGTCTCCCTCGGACAAGAAGGCGATTGTCCACGAGAAAGTCCCGATGTCCCCGATGAAGATCCTTGCCGCCCTTGCCAGGCAATGGTCTCTCATTGGGGATTCACTCCTCACCAACACACTGTGCTGCTTGACGAGCTTTTGAACTATAAAATCGTTCTTGTTCTGCGGGGGGCAAATGACAAAGATCCTGCCAGCTACATTTTGCCGCTTCAAGGAATTAAGGATGATGTCGTAATACTGAGATGGGAGGTCTTGATGGACGCAACCATACTTGCCTTCACACAATTCTTTGCTTGCACCCCGGTAGTGTATGACAACGTCTGACTTGCCCAACTCTTTCTGGAACTTCTTCACCCAACGGTTGTCAAAGATCCGCAGGAAATCCTGTCTGAAGGGTTGGAAAGTGAGGTAGTGCTGCTGGTAGATATCACCGCAGAACTCATCGGCTACCAACACGTTGTCCCGATTCTTGTCCTGCTCGAGGAACTGGACGTCAGCATCCGAGTACTCACGCAATGTATTGACCGCATCCAACTTGTCAGCAACAAGGGACCGATTGAGGTAGCTCCCAATGATCCTCGCATGCATGTAAATGATGATCCAGTTTCCTAACCTCCCATCAAAGTGAATCTCCATCAGTCCAGGATCTACCGCAGCGACCTCCTTGTTTGTCGTCGTAAACATGTTCATAAAGTTTCTCTGCCAGCTCCATGCTTTCTTTTTCGGGAGCGACTGCTGGAACGGAGGTACAGGCAGACGTTGTAGAACACCTAGGGAAACTGAGCTGGTGTTCCTTGTGTCATTGCGAGCCTCTGTGAAATTGCGGGAAGGCTGTCGGCTCAGTTCTGATCTGATGGTCAAACGCTCGAGCTTGCTGCCCAGCTTGACGATTGAAGAGGGAGGTAACGAGGAGTTGATTGGGTGCAGAAGGGAACGAGTAATGGTGTCGATCGTGATATTCTGTTCTGATCTGCTAGTGTTCGATGCCATATGCCTCGACATCTGGTGACTGATGCTATGAAAGGCTTGAGACTTGCTGATATTGTTCTGTACACGGGAAAGCTTAAGATTGACGTTGCCAGGTTTGGTTACAGCTGGTTGGGAGGATGCGACTACATTCGGTGCAACGCTTTCGCTCCACAAACTTTGCCCACTCTCCATAACATCCATGATGTATTCTAAATTCTGCTCGTCGTACAAGAGAAAGAAACCAATGGCAGAGACAACCAAACCAGCGATGAGAAACTTGGATCGCATGTTGACCTAATAAAGAGAACTGGCTACATCATTCGCTTGCTTCTGAGGAACTATTCCTGACGTAGCCAGTACATTTTTGTTCGAATAGTGAATTCCTACGATTCTATTCTCTTGATCCCTCTACTTTCTCTTCCCGAGAGAACTTTCTTTCCTCCTCTCCTATCGTCCTCTTGTCCTCTCGTCCTCTCGTCCTCTTGTCCTCTCGTCCTCTCGTCCTCTCATTCTCCTCCTCTCCTCCTCTCCTCCTCTCCTCCTCTCCTCCTCTCCTCCTCTCCTCCTCTCATTCTATTCTTCTCTTCTCCTCCTCTCCTCCTCTCCTCCTTTCCACTCGCCCTCGTCGTCGGGGTTCCGCCCACCCTCGCATTCCCTCCCTCTCCGTCCCCTTGATTTGCTTACTATTACCCCACCCATTCTCTATGACCCCACCCCCCTCTATAACCGACGAAACCCCCCCGCGGCCCCCATATGTCATACAAGTACCCACCCACCCCTCCGCCTCAGGATCACGTCCCAAAAACAAGTTGAGAAGCTTCCGAGGCCCCTCACTACTTGCTGCCCCTGCTGCCCTCGTGACCCATCACACCCACCCCTGTTTTTACCTATCATATGAGGGGTAGTGGGGGTACTATCACCCACTCAGTTTCCGAACAAATTTGTTGCTCAGTCAGCAACCCGACAATTTTTTACTCAACAGTACTGCGACCCAATGCCATCTCCGGTCACCCATCTTCACTGGTCACTGTCGGGGTTGCAGATGGCGTCGTACAGCGTATGGCTGATGCTTTCTCCAGCGCCGGCGATGGTGTGCCGCGCGGCTATGCAGGAGGCCTCCGCTCTTGCACTCTCGTCAACTTCAGCTCCTCCTTGCCCCTCGTTCACACCTCACATCACACTCGTCGGTCGTTAGCGCCATTGCCTCCCGAACCACGGCTGAGGTTTCCTTTCCAGGAGACATCGTGCCGGGGAAAGACCAGAGAACGCCGGATGAGATTGTAGCACAGGTGACGTCTGAGAGATTCGATGATGATCGATGAGCCTCCCTCAGCTCACTGAGACGATCAAGCTGTCTGTGTCCTCGACCCTACCGGACGGGTGGGAGGAGTGTGGGAGCGTCGGGGGTCGAAAATTTTGATTGTTGGCGCCGATAGCTGCATTCTTCGACCAAGGCGTGCAGCTGCCATGGACAAAGGATGCGACACGTGGAACATGTGCGTGATGCTATGGATCGATGCCGAGGAATCATTGAGCAAGGTGAAGCTCTTCCTCCAACCCGGCTTTCTCCTGACCCTCATCAGCTGAGGGAGGAGATCATCGCGAGGACAGGCCTCCAAGTGGAAGCGAGGACGTTTCGCCCGCACATCTCGTTGCGTGAGCAGACGTGCAGCTCTGACGCTGTTGCTGCTGACTTACCGGCCCTGTGAAGTTTACGGAGTGCTCGACTTCGATAAGAGGGAGGAGATCGCTAGGGCTCTCAATGAGAGGTTCTTCGACGAGAGCGAGGATCTCAGCTTCAAGCTGCACAAGGTCTGCATGCTCGCATGCTCGTGCAGAGGCCTGATGCCTCGTCAGGTTGCTCTCGTGGAGTCTCCTGTGCCGGGATACGACGGCATCGGTGAGGCGGAGGGTTGAGAAGGAGGGTGCAAACAGAGTGACTGACGAGGGTCCAGGCGACTGGAAGGTTGTTTCTGAGATAGACATACAATGAAAGGCGTCTTGACTTATCTCGCCTGCATCTTCTTGTTCCTCCTCTTCTCCTCCATCCTCCTCTGCCCTCGAGCTCGTTCAGCAAAGGAGCAGCCGCAGAGAAAGCGACGAACAAACCTGCACCCTCAGCCTCTCCTCCTCCGCTTGCTTGGCCGCCTCGCTCATCTCCATGTCAGTCAAGATCTCCCTGCCGTGATCGTCTGTCAGCTCTCCAGCCTTGCCGGTGCTCAGACTAGTCTCCGCACCTGAAAGACTTGACCGACAGCGCTTCCACGTCATCCTGGAACACTGTCAGCTCCTCCAGTGCACATCAGCCATGGGCTACCTCCTCCTCTTCCTCCTTTTCCTCTTCCTTGAACACCCGGACGTAGACCCTCTCGAGGCTGTCGGGCAGGAGGCGAACGGAATTGCTGCTCCGCAAGGTCACATCAGGATCACGTCCAGCCTGACCCCACCTGACATCCATGAGGTGCTGGGCGAGGAACCTGATGTCGTGCGCGTTGAGCTTGTCATGGACCTGTAGGGGAGCAGCGGGAAGGGTGAGGGGCAGAGGAGGAGGAGGAGGAGGAGGAGGAGGAGGAGGAGGAGGAGGAGGAGGCTATCCTTGCCTTCATCCAGTAGAAGAACTCGTCCACCGACATCGACCCGGTGTCCTCCATGGCAGCCCTGAAGGTCCTGCCGGCGACTTCAACGGAACCCTCGCACACAGCGCCAGCCAACCGGTCGAGGTTCTCGAAAGACTCATGCCTGACAAGGAGCTGAGAGATGATGGTGTGGAGCCGGCGGTCGAGGACGTCTTGTTCTGACTTTCTCTTCGCCTCCTGTCAAGCAGCATGAGCTGAATGCCGTCGGGTTCAAGGCGGAGGAGCCTGCTGAAGACTCTCGAGGATCTTTGCCTTTCCTTGGCTCACGATGGAAGGAGGAGGAAACTGTCAGGTATCATCATGAATGGTGCGAGATCGATCTACCCTTCTCACCCTGATCTCTGGATTTTCTCGCAGGTCAAGAACGGACAAGTGAGTCATCAGATGCAGGCTGATGTCTACCCCCTGTCGAGATGTTGTCATGTGCTGATGGCACAGGAGACGAGGAGAGGACCTGAAGCTTGTTGTTGCTCGCGTGTAGCTCCCTCAGGCTGGTGAGAGCGGTGAGAGCTGGGAGGTTCTCGATCTGGAAGCGACAAGTACAAGAGTGAAGAAGCGAAGGAACAGGGGGAACAAGCTGACCTGGTTGTTAGACAACTGTAACGTAACAAGACTTATCATCCCTTGAATGCTACGAGGAAGCCGTTTGATTTTGTTGTTGTTCATGTACAAGCTGCCGATGTTCTTGCAGAGGCCGATGGCCTTGGGGATGGCCTGAAGGAAGTTGTGTGAGACGTCGAGGGAGGTCAGGCTGGTGAGGAACTCGAGGCACTCGTTGGGGAGGGTCTTGATGCGGTTGTTGCTGAGCTGGAGAGTGTGGAGGTTGTAGAGCTTCTTCAAGGTTGAGGGCATGTCGTACACGAAGTTGAAGTCTGACAAGAGCTCCAGCATCGACTCCCCTATGAAGCCCAGCTGCTCAGGGAGCGAGCGCAGCTGGTTGTACCGCAAGTCCAGGGAGCGGAGGGAGCGCGAGTACCCGAGGCTGTTGGGGATGGTGACGAGCATGTTCTCAGAGACGTCGAGGCGGGCAAGCGACATCATGTCCTCCATGTCCGGCAGAGTTGCAAGCTTGTTGCCTCGCACCTCCAGTCGCTGGAGGCGAGTGAGATGAGCGAGGGAGGGAGGGAGAGCTGTCAGGAGGTTGCGGTTGAGGAGAAGCTCTTCAAGGCTCGTCATGTGCATGACGCTGTCTGGCAGCACAGCAAGGTAGTTGCCGGACACGTCCAGCCTCACCAGGTGATCGAAACGCTCCAGATGCCTTGGCAGCCTGGAAATCCTCTCGTCCTGCATCGCTATGGCGTCGCAGACCTCCCGGGGGAAGCGGAGCAGCATGGCATCTGACCGGAGGATCTTAGTCTTGACGGCCTTGGGATGCTTCTCCTCTGCCTCTCCCTGCCTGCTCTTCTCCCTCATCGCTTCGCGCGTCCTCAGCTGCACTTGAACTCGCTCAGCCAGGCGCTCTCGCTCTCGCTCTGCCGCCTCCATGAGGGAGAGGCGAAGGAGAGGGGGGAGGAGGAGAGGGAGGGATAGACCGAGAGATGGCAGGAAGGAAGGGAGAGAAGGAGGAAGGGGACAGAGTGAGTGAGTGAGTGAGTGAGTGAGTGAGTGAGTGAGTGAGAAAGGGAGGGAGGGAGGCGAGGGAGGGAGGGAAAGGAGGGAGGGAAAGGAAGGAAAGGAGGGAGGGAGAGAGCAACAGGGAGGGCAGGGGAGTTAAAAGGCGTGTACGATTAAAACCGATAGAAACGGCCCGATTTCAGTCAGGTTGCGAAT